CAGACACACGGGACATCGTAATTTACTTCCTGGTGTTAAGTCAGGTATATAAGTCTTCAGACAACCCTTACAAAATGTATGTCTACATGGTAAATCTGTTGGGTCCTTATATTCCTCAAGACACAAAGGACAGGTCACAAAGTAGTTGATTATTTCCGTTCTGAAAATTTCTGCTTGTGGAGTCTCAGTTACATCTTTGGAGTCTGCAGTCGCCATTTTCCTTTTTGATTGTCTCCAGGGTGTTGTTCAGTATTTGTTCCAAAATTGTTTTCATGCCCAGATGTTTCTGCATTCACCTGATTTGACCTAGTTCTTTTCTATAAGTTACCTGTATAGGATTTGGGTCAGCCTTTTTTTTCTGACGTTCAACTTGACAGTGTTCATACTATTGATTTTACATTAGGCCACACTTTTTTATTCCTCTGGGTACCCCAAAATCGGTGCGAGAGGGCGAAAAAAAAAAAAACAGTCCAAAAAAAAAAAATACTGCTTAAGTAAAGGAATGCTGTCAGTACACAGCTGGAAACACAAATTTTACCACAAAAACACGACTCAAACTAACAATGTCTTTATCCATGCTCTCAAAATATTAAAGCATTGTGAATACTTCGTAGAAATGTAAAAAAAAGTCATAAATAGATATACTTCATATTACCAAATCTATATAAGGTTATTTCATGCATTTAGTTGGTATAGCGATCAATAAAACAAATATCAATTAAACAGTGTGTCTTCCCAGAATATTAAAGCATTTTGAACTCTTCACAGAAATTTAAAAAAAATGATGCAAATATATGCTTAATACTACCAAATCTATTAAAGGTCATTTCGGACAATGCCATTTTGTCTACTTCGACTAACACGAAGCAGCCAAACTGTCAGGTGGCCTGTCTGACCTTCAGCCCACCAAATACCTCGACGCCCTTGTCGACCCTTTTTTCGCTACAGAAAACCTGGTATTAATGTGCTGCTTTGTACAGAATGTCACAGAAATTTTTCGGGCGATAATCCCTGGCCGCCGCCAGCCTTTCGCACCAATTGTAAAAAGGTGATATCTCCATGCCCAATATCAATGGCATACTAATCCAAAACGACGGCGCCCGATATCTTTACGACTTTTATTGTTGTGTAATTTGAAAGTAATATCCTAGAGATGAATTTGACGGCAAAGCGGCCACATGTCCACGTGGCGATAATACGCATGCGCAGAAAGCTCATTTCCTGGCAAATTCAATAACGAAGTTTGCGACAACCGACTTCGTTGGGGGCTGGGGGGGGGGG